TTTGGTAAACCTTGCATATCACCCCACATACCTATCGAGGTGCACGAAGAGGTCACGGATCTTCATGTAGTGGACTCCCATGTAGTCGTCCAAAGCCTGTCATTGGATAAATCAGAATGCAGACACCATCTAGATGCTACGTTACGTTCGCCACAGCGATACGGAAGGTAGAGACTGGTCTCTTCTATCAGGAAGGAGTGGAGTGTGTGTTACCTCACAAAAGATGAATGTCGTACCATATGCTTTACTTGCGAAGTGATTGGGTCAAAAGCCAACACTAGGAGCCAGCGGCCTGTAAGTGTACCTAAGCAACGTTGGGAACACGGTCATCATTTATGAATGTGGTCTGACACGAAGCTAGCGCCATTCTGCCGCTGGTCATACCCGCCCGTCCACGACTCAAAGCACAGACCCTATCGCTATCTTAAGTTGTCTTGGGCTTGATGTGGGTTTGTATCTTTGTCTGTCGGCCGGAAAGCTTGTGCTGGGAATAGATCGCCAACCTCGCCTTCGGTTTCGGTTTGTCTTTCTCGTCACCTACCTGCATCATGGACGTGATAACATCCATCTCTTGCGAAGACGTCGTCTTGTAGTGTTCCACTTTGCACGCGAGCGCTACCTGACAAATTGTACGTAGATCTTTAGGAAAGGAAGATGACAAGCGTAGGCCTGACGAACGACCTGCTCTACGCTAGCATCATGAGCTCTCATCGTGTTGTTCATGCTTGTCATTACTGGGCCATTGTCAAAATCAAGATCAGAACGTAGTCTAGGTATTGAAAATAGGGCAGAGAAGAGACACTGTTACTGACTCTGAAGATTGTTCATCCTCCTCTGTCTCACCTCATTGAGCACCAGCATGCCATCGTGGTTGGCGTCCATGTAGATAAATAGTTCTTGGATCTGCCGGAGGTGTCGGAGATTGCGTACGTTTCGAAAGCATTGGAGGACAAGGGCACATCGGAAGCATGTGAGAGCACGGGGAGCTGAAGAGAAACCGTGGTTCATTCACACGTTAGGTGGGTTCCGTTTGTCTAACACGACCAGTTGACTTTTTGATTTTCCCTTTGTCATTATCACGTGCTGAGTGCAGAGTGCATCCTCTTTCCCAAAGAGGACAAGGCGAGAGAGATTTTATCAGAAATCACCCCGGAAACTTCGAAAATCGAAATTCTGCACACTTGGTATGTAACCAAGCGCCCACCTGTTCGGCGCTCAAAACGGGTTGCTTCATTCTTTCCGTACTGTGATTCTGCAGCATCTCCATGCCTTTGGAGAACTCGCTTTGGTTGATCATGTTGTTGTTGGACAGCTGGTCCATGATCTCGAACCAGGTGCGGATGGTCATGCCGTTGCCTTCGATCGCTTCCAACAGCTGTTCGATGATAGACTTTATGTTGCTGTTGTTCCTCGTGTCGATGTACCTTCGCCGAACACGCCGAAAGGCCATTTCCAGCTCCTGCTCGATGGCGAGAGACAATTTCAAACAAACCTGTTTCTGAGCCTGGTTAGCCCCCGCAGCTCTGAATGCCATGCGACATGGTAAGACAAAGAGCCCGAACCTTTTACAACACTTCAAAAACTGCTTCAACATTTGTGGAACTGTCCATCTCACACCCGCCGCACAAAGTAGCCATGGTGCGTGCGATGCGTGCAGTGCGCCAACAAGCAGCCAGAGATAGTAGCAGTCATAGGTTCGTGCTGCATCAATGCCAATGCCTCAACTCACATGTGATGGGGTTAAGTTTTTCTCCCGGTAGTTTCTATTTTTGTCTTCACTTCAAAGCAGCGCTCACAGCACTAGTGCCGTTTTACTCCAACCCGTGGTCACACAAAAGAGCCCCTCTCTACCCTCCCCTCCCGCGGTGCTTTGCCTTCGATTTTCAATGCGAAAAGAGTTCAGCACTCTCCTCCCTCTGTGTACACACGAACTAGCCCTATCCACTAGTATAGATGTAGTACAAAGGTGTAGGTGTGCGCTGGTGTCGATCGAACATAGGAGTACAGTGGAATACCATGTGTGTACACTGGGCTGGGCAACCACAACACTCTCAACATACTAGGATTATGCTATTTAGTTGGCTTCACAGCATCGTTCATTAGCGATCTCCTACATAAGGACACGGGATAAAAAACGATGGAACCCCGTATCGATAGTTCTGTATGCATCGAGTTTCCACTCCCTGGAAAATCAAGGTTCGATAGCACCACAGAAGCAACCAATTTGCGAGCCGAAAGTCCACGCCTACCCAGGAGTCCACCATGCCATTCAACCTACCCCGTCAGTTCCTGCTCTATTATTGTACGTTTGACGCTGCTACGATTTGACGCTGCCGGAAGGGAAAGTAAAAAGGCTTGATGAATTCCATGAGCCGGTTGCCCAGGCGGTTCAATTGGCAACCTTGTAATCATCTGACGTTTGGCCGGCAGTTCGTATCTCGCTGTACTACAGAAGTCACACACACACTGGGTATTCGCTCTGTATGCCCAGACACGTTGATAACGATTAGTGCGTGTGGGCACAAAAACAGCTCCACCGTCGACGAGGAACAGGGACGGCTGAACCCTTCTCGCAGAAAATACTACGAAAAGCATTTCAGGCAGAACATATGGAGAGAGGGTATGAAGATCCCTGGTACTCTTCTCGTGTATGACCCCGGCTAGTACGTCCACAAGATACCTAGAGGATATCAACCGATTTCCAGAACAAACGGCATAGCAGCACACACAACGCGTTTCCTTCAGCACGTGAAGGCCGAAATTTGAGCTGTCGGAGAAACTGGTCTTGCATCGAAAACCATAGAAGATGAGCGTGAAAGTCCTATCCAGCCTACCTACACACACGGAATCGCCCGCTCTGTTCGCCCCGCTCGAAAGTGTGGCGCTATCTTGTTTGTGCTTGAAACGCGTTTTTTTTTTCCGGGCTGACAGCGCGGGAGGACTCCCGCCAGGCGGCCTAGGGTGTCGCCCTTTTGGGTACTGTCGGGGTCCCGGTTTACCGGTCCATAGTGTCACGAGATTTTATAACCGCTTTTGAGGGCATCGCCGCTCAAGCCCTTCAGCGGCTATGAACCGTTATACCGGGAGGCTCAATGGCGGTTATGAACCGCTACAATTTTTGCGGAACAAGAGCAGCGTCGAAAGCTCATCTTGATAGGGTATCGCATGCATGTGTCTCATTGCAGCAGTTGTACGAAGGTGTAGATAAAAGAAGTGGCCACCTAAGAAGGCGACACACAGTACATTGATTCTTGTCAATTCGTGAAAGCACAAAGAAAGTTTGGGCTCCCTTCGAATGAACACTTTTCACGTCTCAAGAGTACACGAATCGGGTCGTCCTCTATAGATTTTTGTTGTGCTTCCCGCGTGCAGCTATGGGCGAGTTGGTTTCTTCTGCGTGTCTGGTGCTAGAAAGCCACCTTCTGCATCTCTTTGGGCTTGGGTGGATTCGAGACTCGTGGGGAAGTCGGCGCTGCCTTTGGTTGCAAAAGAGTGGAAAATGCGGTGCATCTCGCTGCCATCCGGGTCCTCTGCCTCCCCACACCCGCCGTGCATGCGGCCACCACGGCCACCTCGACAATTGTGCGCCCCGGTTAGACCCAGTTCCGCATCTGGAAGCTTGCACAGCTCTCCATCCGCTCACCGCATGGTGTGTGTGTGGGTCGTTCGCTGGGTGCTGTGAGCATGTGCAAGCCCAAGCGCGCGCGGGATCTCAGGCACAGTTAATTGATTACCGCTATTGACTGAAAACAGTTCCAATAACCGCTATTGGGGAGACCGGTTTAGCGGTTCACTGGGGTACAGCCGTGTCACGAGACATTATTACCGCTATTGAGGCCATCCCGCCAAACACGGACCTGCTAACCTGGGACCACGACGATCATGTCATGTTCGGTGGACATTTTTCCAACTGATGAGTAATGCCGTGATTACGAACACAGATCTGCCTTCTTTGATTGAAAATCGCGACGCTCACGTTCGCGCATCGCACAGAACACCCACGTATTCAAATGTTCCAGCAAGGAAACAATTACCTCTGTACAGTGTTCACTAAAGTGCAGTGTACTCTACGGTAGGTATTTGGTACCAGCACGCTCTACCGAGTCTGACGTGAAGTTTATGTACACCAGCATCATCGTGGTTGCTTATAATATGTGACACATTTCACATTTCCATGTGCGGCCGATTAGAGAAATCATAGGAGAAGACCATAGCGGTGTTGACCTGATGTGTACAGCACACCAGCAGCATCCCTGATTTACATTTAGACTAGCAGTACTCTAGGTTGCGTAAGATACTACACCCCCTTCACCGATTTTCAAAGTTCGATTGTACTCTGCAGCATAAAAAATCCATCCCTTTTGTCATGGAGTAATCGTGCTTTGGAAATCCACCCACGGGGTGTGGTGTCTTCCGCAACCTGCACATTTCGTATTTGGTCTGCAAGCATGCGCAACATTATTGCAATAAAAACTGTGATGAAACAGTGCCAATGTGGTGTGGTCTAAGCCTTTCAGTCCGTTGAACCTCCCCCCTGAGAGTATCACATAGCATGCCACACCTGACTTACACAACGGCTGAAGGAAACAACGCCCAATGGCGTTGTCTCATTTTACAACACAAACACTTGCCGCAAAGGAGACAATTCCGTCTCGTCTCGCATTCGAGCCGAACTCGACCTGAATTCCGTCCAAGAAGTCAACCAATAGGTCCACATTAGCTGTTGTGAAGGAGGTGACATCAGAAAACATTTTGACCGCAACCCCATGCGGCATGGCGGTGTGCCGTTCTCCGTGCATGTGTGTAGAATTTGGGCCCCCTCGGTCTGTGTTGCCGTTTGCCAACTAAGACGCGGCGGGATTACCGTTGCCCGAACGGCGTTC